AATATTAAAGTTCAGTTATAAATTGTAATATTTAGCTTGAAAATATATTGCCTCGCATTGTACAAGCACTGCCTTACACAAAAGTAGGTCAAGCCTGCTTATCTATATGCATGTGTGCTATCAGTACAGTGCAATACTAGTTCAATACTACTCATCTACTGTAGGATAGAGCTCACAAATGTATGTGCACAGGATAGAAAAATTATTTATAAGATGAAGAAAACAATTCTGGTTAGAAAGGTTTAAAAGGAAACTTGAGTGAATAATTAATTGGCTAATATAGAGATCTTTGTATATAGTCAATTGAAGTTGCCTATTGCATTGATTTTGATATTTTCTTTTTCAATGATAATTGCAGTAGACTATGTTGAAATTAATTGGCATTTCACACCAATACAATGGTGATTTCTGTGTTAATAGTAGGGCTAATAAATTTGTATTGTTCTTATTACATAATTATAAAAAGAAAATTTTCTCCCAAAAGGTCAGAATTTAATTTTAAAAAGAATGAAAAATACAAGTACTGTGAGTAATAGTATAATTTCTACTAAATCAATTGGTGAATGTTATCATATCTGTTTAAATACTACTCAATACGATTGTGTTGGAGTTTCTTATGCAAAGATAAATGATATAAATGAAAATTTTCAATTGTCATGTTTGTTTGTTTGTTTTATACAGTAAATCAAACATTGAAAGTCTACTCAAACGAACCGAGTAATCCATGCGCAAATGATATTCAATTAAACAAGAATTCTATAGCAAAAGTCTATTGTAGAAATTTTAGCCAAAGTGGAAATGCAATAATAATTGAAGGAAAATTAAATAGTGATAACCTTCACCTTTGCAAAGTGGAGATATTTTCTGGTAAAGATAAACAAAAAAAAATTTCCAATTGAACTAATTCAATTTTATTGAATTTTCCACTTCAAAAGTAAATTTAGCTTTTAAAAAACCAATTTTATCAAAATGGGCAGGAGAAAATCTCTCAGAATTAACAAATGGACAAATTACTGATCATGTATCATTCAATCTTGGAAGTAACTATTGGCTAGCAGTTAATCTTTTAGGCTACTATAATGTTTTTGGTCTGAACATAAGCCAAGTTTAACTTTCTTGGCAACATTTCAAAATTTTTACATAGAATTGACCAATGAAAATTCTGCTTTGCCCTACGACTCAATAAATTTTGAATTGTGTAGAAAAAAGAATCTTATTCCACCAAATCTGGATGAATACTATACAATTTTATGCACTAAAGGAGGTGCAAAAGGGCAATTCGTTGTCTTTCATAGTAATTACAGCCAATATAAAAGTATTTCGCTTCAAGAAATTCATATATTTGGACACTTTTTAAGAATTTCTTTTCAAAAAAATACAAATATCCTCTTAAATAAACCAGTATGGTCATTATCGATTGATTTATTGAAAACTTCAGGTCATAGGCTTACAAATGGAGATTTTAATGATTTGTTCCATACTGTTGAAGAGAGATATCCCTGGGCCAGAGTAGACTTACTTGGAAATTATATAATTCATAAAATGGCTATTGCAAATAGAAATGGATATTGTAAATATACATCCTACAAAGTAAATATCTATGAGCATTATTAAGTAATTTCTTTGTGAATTTCTATTTCGGTTTCAATTAGAACAGTTTCAATAAGAGGAATTGTATCTAACGATTCAGTATTTTCTATAGAAGATCAACTCTTTCATTCAAAAGTGTGCTTTATCAATAATGTAGAGTTTAACGATGGTGAATATAGAATGTGGAAATGTCAACAACCATTCCCTATTGGCAGATTTGCTATAATCTATCTTCATGATGATATCTATTTTAATATTATTGAATTTGAAGCATATGGAGAAGAAATTATCAATGACAATTTCACACTTTTGACACTCATTAAAAGTGATAGAAATACTAATAGTTCTCATATTTTTGGCAGGGGCGAAAAAAATGAATTCTCTTTAAAACTTTTAGATAAATTTGCATCAAATACTAATTTGGATACTAAGTTTTTGTCTTGCAGTGGCACTCTTATTAATGAGAATTTTGAGGGAAGTATCAGTGTTTATACAGATGGTTTACCAAACTGCCTTCCTATGTTGAGGAGTAGATGGATGGTTCCAGTAGAGGTTGTTTCCAGGTTATCTTCCCAGGTCCTTGGGTCCAGATGGAAGCTGCATGCAGAATGAGAATAGTGAGGATTTATATACTTTGAGGTTTGCCTCTGACATCCAATCATCACTTTACAGTTGCCAAAATGTGTAGTTCATATTTATGTTTAGTAACAGGATGTAACAAGGTTGAACATTTAGGAAGGTTAATTGAATTATAACTTGGCCACACCCTGGGCAAGTTAATTAAATTATAACTTGGCCAAACCTTTATTGGTAATTAAAGATGAGCCTTCAAGCTGACTAATCAGACTTATGTTTGGCCAATGTTATAGCATTTTCTTGCATAGGTTTAAAGATGTTCATGTATAAGTTGCATAAAATAATAGAGTTCAAGCATGTAAAATAAAACCAAAGTTGTAAAACAGTAATTTCTCTTTTCTCTTAGTATTCAATGGTCCAACCTATAAAGCTGGAGTTTTAGTAAAAGTAACAAATTACCTGCATAACAATGTTAGTGAAAAAGCAACATCTGGAAATTTTGTATTTTTGCATGCAGTTTGTTTAGAATTTGAATTTATGCTGACATAGGATATACAACTAATCACACAAGATGATGTAGGAATCAGTGAAGTTGATATTTTTGCAGTTTCAATAATAAGTGGAAAGGGTTTGTTGAATACTAAAAAGAAATATTAATGTGTTTCATTAGTCTAATATTTTTGTTTAACACTTTTGCAGTGCCATCACATTGTATTGAAAACTTCATTAATAAGTTGATCTATACAGGGACACAGGTAAAAAATAGATTAAACCCACTTTATTTTTATATTTTAATCAAAGGTAGAGATATAAATGAGCACATTTCAATTTATGCTCCAAAACATGGAAGAAATTCTTGGGTATCTTTATGTAATTATGTGAAAATCACAGATAATGAATGGAATACAAAAAATCAATTCCTTTATCAATGCAACAAATTAGAGTTAGATATTATAATTTATCAGAGTGTATTAGAATAAATCATTATGTCTCTAGAAATATTTTGATATTAGAATATTGTAAAAAGTTCTAAAAGTCATTTATGTTTTTTTTTGTTCTCATGGAGATAATCAAATTTCAATGTAAAGAATTGCTGAATGAATTTAGTATGTAAATACAATTATTTTTTAATAAAGTTACAAATTTTCTTAAATTTATCTCTGTACCGATCATTATTTCAATTTTAAATAATTATATATCTTGTACTCTTTTTAAAAGATGGAAGAAATCATTGAAAATTCTATTATGCAATTCTTTTTTTTACTTGAGTGAAAACATAGTTCTTTTTGCTCTAACCCCTGAATAAATCTCAAAATCCTTTACATCCCTGAATTAACATGTTCTATCAATGCCATCTTTTAACTATTTGCCTCAAAAACCAAAGCTTGTGATTCATTTCCTTGCACATCCATACCAAATCTTCCTGCATTCATAATCATTCTTTTTCAATTATTAAAGAGATGAAGTGTTCAAACTGTACAATCATTTCTCAAAGACAATGTTTTGTCCAGCTAAGAACAATCCTTAAATTTCCAAAAAGAAATTTTTTGAAAATGGAAGAGAATATTATAATCAAATCATGGATATTGAAATCTTCATTCCTGATGAAAAGCCCATATTTATAAAAAAAGAAAAAAAAGCTTGATTTCAAATATATGCTTCAAATATTGAAGCCAAGAAACAAATCACAAATCACAAATCAGTGAAACCAATTAAGATCTATTTTGGGTAAAATTTATGCTTGGATTAATTGGGTTATTCTCAAATCTTCTTTTAAATTGTTTGAATTCCTTTTCATCTTCTTTCCTTGCATTGTTGAAAAATACCTCTGCTCTTTTTGCCAGTTTAATATACTGGTCCACTGAGTTGATTTTTCATCTTTTTCCACATTGTACTTTGTTGTATTGTAATTATAGGAATTTCTGGTTCGTCCTTTCCAATCATTTACCAATTTGCCAAAGTACTCAAACAAATAGAACCTTTAAAGTTTGTCCACAAATAGTCTAACAAATGCAATTTCGGTAGAAATGAATCAACAAAACACCAGTATTTCATCCAAAGAATATGTATTGAGTAAAATGAGCTTCTAGTTCTAAACAAGCTAGTTTAAACAACTAGCTGACAGTTAGAAAACTGAACTATCAACTGTTAATTTAGTAGGATTTATATACTCTTTTAAGGGTTGATAGTTCACAAATTTCAATGTTCATAAAAACAAAAGTAACATTTTAAGACAATGAAAAGTTCTAAATATGGTCATGTTTTTATTGTTTTCCTCTTCCAAATAATAGCTGAATTTTGAAGGTTGGAGAGTTGCATAAGATGTAACAATTTTAGTAGGACAAGTCCAACAATCAAGAAAACATGTAGATTGTATATTTGACCATTTTTATATTCTACCTTAATAATGACATTCAATTGATTGAGTTGGTAAATATAGCATCAGCATATAAGGAGGAAGTATATCTGATTAATGCATGTTAAGAATAACATAGTGAATACAATCTATACTTAGAATTGAAGCATAATTGATAATTAATTGAACTAGTTTTAGTTGAAAATCATAAATTTATGGATTAATAAATTGTAATATTAATGCTAGGTTGCAAATAGCAATATTCTTTATATAATTTAATAGGTTTTATTGCTGCATAATGTGTATGCACTGCCCTACATGAAACTGGGTCACTACTGCTTATCTTTATCAGTGCTATCTGCATAGTACAGTACTCATTCAACTTGAAAATGTTTTTTTCTTATGAAATCATAAAAAAAGACAAGAAATGAAAAAGATAATGAATGGTTAATTTGTAATAATTTATTTTGTTTCAAACTGAAAAAGGAAAAGGTTAATCTTACATATATTCAATATCATTTGAAAACATACTTTGAACAAAAGTGAGTATGCTGCTCTCTTTTTGGAAGAAAGCAGAGCAAAAAGCAATGGAACTTGTTTTATTTCTCCATCTTTTTTCAAAAAACTATGGATTGAAAACATTTGCTTGAATGGTTGATTGACAACTTTAAAGGTGCCATCCATATACCAAATCTTTGATGACGATAATAGTTTTAATTGTTTTGCTGTTGCAAAAATTAACACTCTTTCATTTTGATGTAATAAATCACATTGAAGGAAACCATCAGCAACAAAGGAGTGATTAAGTAAAAATGTCAAGGATTCTGGTTCTTTTGGTTGGTTTTTTCTTCTGTGGTAATTAACAACCTGCTTGCAATTTGTAATTTTTTTATTTGCACTTTCATTTTTGTAATTTGCTTTAGATTTTTCTTTGGTGAATGATTGTGAGGTTTAGAGCCTAATGTAAAGTTACCACCATTTTCATTAACACTTCCAGGACATTTTCCTTTTTTATTTTTGCCACTACATTTCCAAATTCAATTACATTTTCTTGTTTGTTTAACTGTATATGAAAATCCATTATGAAGAAGCAGATGTTTTCCTTTTTGACTTCCATTTTCAAATATTTCAAAAGATCCATCAGTCAGCAAAATACTCTCTTCTACATCTTCAAATGAACTTTCATCAATCTGTTAAAAATAGAAATGTATATTAATTTATTAATTTATCATGTTTTCACTTAAAGTTCACACATTCATGTTTGTGTCCTCATTTGATTGTACATTTGCAGCAATTTCTTCAATGATACTTCCTTCTCTTTGTGAAACAACTGTAATATCTTTCTCAATAGGTATATCAGTATAAAAATATGTGCCAATCTTGTGGTCTTCCAAATCTTCTTGAGGATGGCTTTCATCAGCTATTTCATCACTTGTGATAAGAGAATCAATCATTTCATTGTCAGAAACTATTTGTTTAGCTTCAAATTCCTTTTTGTCACATCTTCTTAACACAATCTTTGCTTGGCAATTTTGAATTGAAACACAAAGTGCACACAGATTGTCTGCAAGAAATAATATGATACATATAAATTTGATTAAAAATGATTTTTAACATACCTTGTAGACAAATCCAATGATTAGTATGTATACAAAAGAGAGTATTTTCTCTTTTTTTGCTTGTTTATTGTCTTTTTGCAAGAAAAGCATTGTGGCATCATTTTTGAAATCTAAAATTAGGAAAATTTGAAATGGTACACATTGGAGCTTGAGTTATAGAGACTGTTGAAGGTGTGCCAGCTAATGTTGAACTCAGTTTTTCCCCATAACCTTTACTACATTTTAAGCAAATATCAGAATTAGACCTCTTTTTACACAAATCACAACCCTCAGGACAAGGGAAGCAGCTGCCAATCATACCATGAAAACCATATTTAGATGAGCATTTGGAAGCATAGCATAGAGGAGATGCTGCCTTATCATCTATAAAAACCTAAAAATGGCTAAATCAGCAGAAAAACTTATGTGCACCATTTTCTGGGATTCATGGATTATGGTGAAACAGTCAACTCCATCCAGTATGTGGAGACCCTGAAGAGATTAAGAAAGAGGGGATTGGGGTGAAAACAGCCTTGGGAGAAAACAGCCTGGGAGAAAATGGCCCACTTTTGGGAGATAATGGCCCATAAATATATTAACCTGTGATTATTACAAACATTACATATCTTCTCCATTTACCATTTTCTCTGATATTACATAATATGAGCAGCCATGCACAGGAAGTTATTAGTATTTCCTGTTTATTTAATTAAGGGGGATAATAGAAAAATTGAAAGATTATCTTTGTATCATTTTATTGAAGAGCGAACTTTTACAGGTAACATTTCTTTATGTGAATCATTAATAATTTGCTATTAATGTCATTAAAATTTTTATTTCTTTATCCAAATTTCAAAATTATATTTCTTTCCATAACTTAAACTTCAACTGTCTAATCTTAGACTTTAATACCTATTATTAGAAGATAACTGACATGCCATTGATTTGTTCAAACTGTGAAGGAAGATTTTTTGGAAGACAAAAAAGATTAAAATGTACAAATTGTAAAAATTCTCTTCATCAGAAATGTTTAAAAGGTAAACCTTCATTCATTCATGTTACATTTTCAAGTGAATATTTTTTTTCCTATTTTTAGGTGCTGATAATGTATGTAAAGCTTGTAAAACTTCTGAACAAGAAACATCAATTGTTGAGAAATGTCAATGCTGCAATAAAATACTTTTGGGTAATCATTTGACTTTTTTTTATCTTTTTGTGATAATTATTTTTCAAATATCAAAGAGGGAAAATGTACAAATTGTACAATCATCTCTCTGAGAAAATGCTTTGTTCAGCTAAAGAGAATTCCTCAAACTTCCAAAAATACAATTTTTGACAGAGCAGCATCTGACATTGAAAGAGAAAATATCAGTGAAATCATTCACATTGATATTGAAAGTGAAGAAATAGACACTGATAATAACAAAGCAAATTCTAGTCATATTGAAGAATGCAGAAGTCATGCAAATAATATTGAAGAGGATTCCTTTGAAATAAATGACAGCATCATTCGAACAGAATCAGAGAAGACATTTGAACTTATTATTGGAGGCAGTCAAAAAGGAAATGATATTTTACTTCATGATGGCTTTGCTTTCAATAAAAAGGTGAAGAGTGGCAGTATAATAGTGTGGAGATGTTCAATTAGAAATAAGAAAGTTCAGTGTCCATTAATAATTAAACAGAAAGGAAATATTTTCATTTCTGATGAAAAGCCTCATGTTCATGAAAAATGAAAAAGTTTAGTCTCAAATATTAAAGCTAAGAAAAGTTTGAGAGATATCTGTGAAACTGATAATAAGTCATCAGGGAGAGTTATTGCGGAGATTGTGTGAAACCATACCCATAAAAAGTTGAGGATTTATTAATATAAAACAGTTGAGATTTTCATCTGTAAAATGTTGGAGCAATGACATCTACAGGCAAAAAAAGGTAAAGCCATCACCTTTCTATTGTCCCTCCAGTCTTTTACCTTCTCCATATACTTTCCAGAGTAGCCAAGAGACTGAAGTAATATTTATTGTAAATAAAAACTTGAAATGTTGATTTAAGGTGAATATTCCAGATGATTTCCTGCAAAGAGATGTAACTGTAGGCAAACACATAATTATAATTTTTGCTTCTAATCATCAACTGGCACTTTTAGGCAAGATATGTTACATGGATGGAACATTTAAAATTGTTAAACCACCATTCATTCAACTTTTTTCTTTGCATTCATTTTTAAAATATGAAGCAGAAATGAAACAAGTGCCTTTAGCATTTGTATTAATGACATCAAAGAAAAAGAAAGCATATAAGATTGTATTTAAGGTACACCTTTTTTAAATAAAAAACTTCATAAAACTTTATAATATTTTTCAACAGGAAATTCAAAGTCTAATGAATGGATGGACACCAAAGAAATTTGTTTTGATTTTGAAATGGGATTGTGGACAGCTCTAGATACTGTATTCCCTCAAGTTTTCATTCAAGGGTATGTTTTTCATTGGACACAAGCAGTTTTTTGTCAAATTAAAGTATTATTAGTAGAATTGTTAAAAAAAAAATATTTTCTGTACAAATTTCTGTTTTAGATGCTTGGGTATTCTTTGGACTATAATGACAATATGCCAAATAGGAAACTACTAACACATTTATTGGCCTTACCCTTTCTTCCTTTTGATGTTATTCCTCATACATTCTCAATGTTGAGAAATGAAGCAATAGAGAAAATATATATTTGGATTTATATAATTATGTTGAAAAAAATTGGATAATAAACTCAACTTGGAAACCAGAAAATTGGTCTATTTTTGGTTTGGCTATTCATACAAATAATGATGTGGAGGGATGGCATAGAAGAATGAATGAAAAGACAGCTTCTAAGGGCTCTTTTTATAAATTAATAGATACCCTGAAACATGAGGCAGCTCTAGTTCCAGTTGTACAAAAGTTGATGTCTGAGAGGAAAATGAACAAGTATCAAAAGAAGAGCTTCTTAATAGTTCAGAACAAAATATTCAATATCTGGAAGGAATATAAACTAGGAGAGATAACAACATTACAGCTTTTGGAAAAATCTGCAACAACATATACTGATTAGTAACTTTTCTATTTTTAGTTGTTTTATCTTATGTTATGTACAAAGATGAAGGTAGAATATTTTTTTAGACATTCAGTAAACTTCTTTTTATGCAACATTATTTAAAGGAAATACATACTTGGATTGAAAATTATGCTTACATTTTATATTTACTTAAAAAGAGTACCTAGGCCATTTTCTCCCAAACTTGGGCCGTTTTCTCCCAAACCTGGGCTGTTTTCTCCCAGGCCATTTTCTCCCAAGGCTGTTTTCTCCCATACTCAAGAAAGAGACTGCATAGGATAAGGCCTGGAAAACAGATCATTTTACAACATGATAATGCCAGACCCCATACCAGTCTATACACAACAGATTTTATGATGAATCAGGGATGGTCTATATGTCCACATCGGGGTCGGGTCAGAACGCCCCAGGTCAGTACGCCCCAGGTCAGAACGCCCCAATTTTGGGTCAGAACGCCCCATTCTTGATTTTGAACGCCCCACTCATGAGTCAGAACGCCCACTCTCTTTAGAGAATTATAGAAAACAATGCTGAGAGAAAAATATTCTTAAATACCAGTTATTATAAATATTTTTACCAGTTTTTTTTTATCAGTTTATTCTCAGAAATTGTGTTGCTTAAATATAATTCATCTTAGTATAATTAATTTTTTTGCTGTTAATGTCTCACTGAAAAAAGGAGGATGAATTTAAAAACTTGTTTGAAATGTATGAAGAAGTTTCATTGGACTCAAAAGAAGTTTAGATGCAAATTATGTAGGCACTTTTACCATGCTAAATGTTCAAATAGTAAGATTTTATTCTTTAATATTTCTTTTCTATTTAACCATTTCCTCAGATGCAGATTATTGTATAGACTGTTTTAAAATAAAAAACAAAAAGCTAATTGTTAAAATAAAAAAGCTGGAAAACAAAAAATCACCAACATGTTCAAAAGTATTTGGAAATGAAACTGTTAGTAAAAGTTCAAGTTCTGAACAGGTACAAAATATTTAACAAATATCTGTTAAAAAAACTATTTAATGTTTTACTATAGCTGAGGTTATCTTTTGACTTTGAATCTAATTTCCCTGATGTTTCAAGTACTCCAGGGAATAATGGAATGGAGAGTTGTGATAAAGATATTGATATTGATAATGATGGAATTTCAAGAGAAGATCAACATCAACCTGCTAAAATTGTTACAGAAAATAGTCCAGTTGTAAGAAGAATTGATATAAATAATGAATCTTCTTTTAATGATACAAGAGAGCTTTGTCTAAATGATAATTTAAAACATGATTTTGAAATATTTAAGAATGGGAGCAGAAAAGGAAAAGATATTCTTCTTCACAATAATTTTACTTATACTGTAAAAAGATCAACTAAAACAACCATTACCTGGAAATGTAGTCAAAGAACTAAAAAATCACCATGTCTTGCATCTGTAATTCAAAAAGATTTAAAGTTCATTTTGAAAAATTCTAATCACATTCACAAAAGAGAGAAAAATGATATGAGAAAAATTATTGAAGCAAGGTTAAATTTAAAGGAAGCTGCAATTATTGATAAAGACAAATCTGGTAAAAGAATTGCAGAAGATATCAGTCTGAAGTTCAGAAAGGATATTTCTCATATTCCAAGCATTGATGTCATGAAAAGATCTGCTAAAAGATACAGAGAAGGTGCCAGACCAAAGCACCCAGAAAACATTATGTTTGAATTAAATTTAAATGAAATTCCAGATAATTTTGTCTTAAAAGATATAAAAGGGAAGAAAAGCCAAAACATGTTTGCAACTGACCATCAAATTAAATTATTGAAACATTGTAAGATATGGTTTATTGATGCCACATTTAAAATTGTGAGAAAACCTTTTTAAAAATTGTTTACAATTCATGGATTTATAAGAAAAGAAGGTGAATATAAACAAGTTCCTTTAATGTTTGTCCTCATGACAGGAAAGAAGAAGAAACATTATTCATTGATATTTGAGGTTGGCTTTCTAAAGTAAATATTTGAGTAAAAATTCTAAAGATATATTTTTCTTTACAAGGAGTTAAAAATCTTAATAGATGGAAAAAGCCCAAAAAAGTTTGTTCTTGATTTTGAAAAAGCTCTTTGGATATCTTTAAAAAATGCTTTTGTTGATTCTGATCTACAAGGATGTGCTTTTCATTTTAAACAACCAATTCTTAAAAACATACAGGTAAATTAAAGTAATTATAACAATTCTGTTACAGATTTAATTTGTGAAATTAAGAAATTAACAAATACAAATTTTCTTTTTAGAAATTAGGATACATCAAGGACTATAAAATGAAAGGTTATAAAGGAAATGTGTTAAGAAAACTAATGTGTCTAGCATACTTACCAGCATCATTCATCAAACGAAAGTTTTATCAAATTAAAGAGGAACTTTTGGAACTGAATTTATATGCTGATCTTCTTGAGTATATGGAATCTATTTATATTGAAAGCAATATTTGGAAACCAGAAAATTGGTCAGTTTATAAATTAATAGTTTGTACAAATAATCATGTAGAGTCTTGGCATACAAGAATCAATCAAAATTTGAAAAGCAATGAAAACTTTTATACTCTTATCACTGAACTTCATAGAGAAAGCAGCCTTATTGAAGTTTATGAGGATATGTTGGTGGAAAATAAAATGAGACAGAATCAGAAGAATAAATATAAAGATTTGCAGGATATTATCTTTGAGTTGTGGAAGAAGTTTAAAGAAAGAGAATTAAGTTTAGATAATCTCTTAAAGGGTTTAATTGACTTGAACATTCCTTGAAAAATTATTTCTTTTTTTGTGATCACTTATTATATTTGTTTAAGCTTTTGTACTTTAAGACAAAAAATACATTATGCATATATAATTTATATTCAATTGACTTTTTTTAATTTAATAAGTACAGCATTAAAACATATTATTTTCTTCAAAAATCAGGGGGGCGTTCTGACTCATGAGTGGGGCGTTCAAAATCAAGAATGGGGCGTTCTGACCCAAAATTGGGGCGTTCTGACCTGGGGCGTACTGACCAGGGGCGTTCTGACCCTAAGCCGTCCACATCCCCCATACAGCCCTGATTTGGCTCCATCTGACTGTTACTTGTTTGGACGACTAAAAAATCATATCAGGGGAGTTAACTATGATAATTTAGATGAGCTAAAAAAAGATATCAGGGAATTTCTAAGGAGAAAACCATCTTCCTTTTATTGGAATGGCATTGACTTACTACTATCCAAATGGCAGACATGTATAAACAATTGGGGGGACTATTAAAAACTCAAATAGTTAATTTTTATAGAGTAGACTATAGGCTATGACATTAAACAAATATTATTCAAATTAGTTTACTATTAGAGCTAAAAATACAAAATGTCTACAATATACAGATTGCACCTAATATATCACCAATTTTTTGTGTACTTTTGATTACAGTTCCCAGTTGTGTAAATGTTCAAGCTCAGGTTAATTTGTTAGGTGCATTTGTAACAAGATATTTTCAGTTTAAATTCAATTACTTTTGTGTTCCAAAGGTTCAGATTATTGCAACAATTTGTCTTAACATACTTCGTCTTCTTGGTTCATCTATGCCTTTATTGTTACCAAGTGAGAAATCTCATATATGCTATGGTTATATTTCAACAGACATCGCCTCTGTGATTATATTATTTATATTCTATTTTGGACCAATTATACCATCTTTAATATTTCATTTCCTTTTGTTAAGGTTAGTTAGAAAGCATACAAGATCTATGCAATTGAAGATGAATTCTGTTCAGTCTATATTAGCATCTTCAAAAGCTACATTATATAAACTAATCTTAGTTTTCATATTATGGCTGTGCTATCTATATCAACTTAAGGATATATCTTTAAATCAATATGTAATATCTGGTGGAAAAGCGGTTTTGGTAGAGCTTTTGATAATTTCTCCAACAGTTATTAATTCACTTATAGTACTCATAAGCAATTCTCATATAAAAATAATCTTCAAGAATCATTTCAAGTTCAAGATATTTCCTAAAACTAATAATAATTGCTCCAATAATGGAAATAGAGCAATTTTAATGTAAACACAAGGCTGGGTTTAATCATTGCTAACTTTTTTTAGAATTGTCTATTTCATATTTAAGTATACAGACAGAGTCATTTATATCAATAGATATATGTTTATTCTATTTATTTAAAAGAAATTTCACATATTATTGGATTAATCACCTCTGGAAACATTTTTATATAAATACCTTCACAATATCTATTTATACATGAGCAACTGTAATTACAAACAGTATTGTTTGCATTTAATATACTGCAACTTCTATACAATCCAGAGTATTTTATGAAATATTCAACTTTTGGTG